AACTAAAGACCTGGCAGGAAGGGCCAACATTCCTTAAGCCCAAAAAATAGAATCATAAAAAAATTTCTTCCCAAAGAGAACTACATTCCAATTAGACAATACCAGATAAGGCAAACACAGGAAACCCCAGCGCAGTAGTTGCCTGACCATAGAACTCTCCCTAATCAATTGCTCCCTAGTCAATTTCACCGGCCAGCGGGCTCTCCTGGAATCCCAGCTAATTACCTTCTCTAAGAAATCCTAGAGGGCGGGTTTCCCTTCGCACCTTTTAAGGATCTTCCCTATAAAAGGGGATTCCTGGGAAGCCCTGGTCGCTCAGAAACCTTGGATGAACCTTGTAAGTTTGCATTCTAACAATACCAATCTGACAGCATTTAAACTGGCTTTGTATCTAACTGTCCTTTAAGTAAGGAATGTTTGTGAGCTTGTTCTCTTTAAAGGAGGAATTGTCCCTCTTTGTCATGTTAAACTTTAGTCCTCTGCTCACACTAGGATACTGGGACCACTTTGTGCCTTTTAAATGTGGATTTGCTTAAAGCTAAGAGTTGAGATGTAGAACTTTATGTATGTTAATTAATCTTACTATTTTAGGGCTCTATTTGGACTTCTTGCTGACACCTGGAATGGAGAAGATGTTGCTTATTGTATTTGCCTATAGTTAAGAGATGAGTTATGGGATGAAGAGTCTTATATCTGTTTATTAAGAGGAGGTGAAGAGATAGTGAAATCTCTTGTGATGAGGGTGGGAAGTTGTTTTCTTAGGGTTTTCTTTCCTTTTTCTTTCTATTGTTTTCTTTGCACCTTTTTCTTTCTTTTCTTTTTTAGTTTGTATTATCAGGCCCTTGAAACTGAAGAGTAGTTGTAGCTGCCCAGCTTTCTTGGTGGGAGTGATCTCTGGGCATGTATAGCCATGCCCAGAAAACCTCAGGAGGTCATTGAAGAGTCATTTTATGTGAGATGGGCATCTATATAAATATGATAAATAAAAAATAAACTACACGGGCCTTTCAAGTGGCTCCTTTGCAATTTAGATATGTAGATCCAGAGCCTGATAGAATGATTTGCACAGGCTTATCTTCTACAGACTTATTTTTGTTACTAGTTCGGTGGTATTCTCATCCTTATTCTCACAATGTCGGTATTCATGACCAGTTACTAAATTAGCTTTATGCATAATGAATTTCTGGCAACTTGAGCAAGCAGCTGCTGCCTAGGAAGCTAATCACTGGTAATGTTACCTTTCTTTTAATTTTGAAGGTTGAAATTACAAAATACAGTTAAAATTGGAAACTTTATATGATGTTTCACTCTAATGGTATAGTTGACACTACTGGAAAATCTATTTTATTTTCAGAATGTTCCCTATTTGAAATTGATGTATTTGCTAAAAGAGCTTAATCTAGTATCTGCACTCTTCCACTGTATTTTATTTTTACAGTATATCACCCCTTCTCTGAAAGGAGCCCAGAGTGGTATACAAAAACAATAATCAATTAAACAGATTCCCATAATGGAAAACAATAAAGCAATGAGGGTGCAACAATTTACCAAAGTTCATTTCAGAAGATACTCTAAAACTCCATCTGGTCCCAAAAATACTTTCATTTATGTAAATCTCATCTGGATTCTTGAATGTTCCTTAATTAGGTATCACTGTTTTTAGTCTGCCCTAATCCCTTTTATGTATCATACCATACTGTATATATCTCCCTCTACATCTAGATCCTATTATAGTAGAAAATTCATTGTTTAGCCCATTTATGCCTGAAAAGCAATTTGACCATGAGATACTTGAATGGTGATGAGTAAACGCCCTTTTGATGGATGAGTTCAAGTAGATGCTAAACAACCTTCTGTTAGGAATGCTTTAAACTGGATTTCTGCATAGGCAAGGGATTGGTCATGTTGTCCTAAATGGCTCTTTCCAAATGTATGGTTTTGTGATTTTAAGCCTTGTTTTAATTTATGTTGCAATTAAAAAAAACTTGGTTTTGTTGGATTCTTTTCTGTATTTGCAGCATTGGATTAAACTGTGCCTTGGGGGCAATTGAAATGAGACCTTTCATTGAAGCCATTGGAAAGTGTACAACTGCTTACATCATTTGTTATCCCAATGCAGGTATGCATAGATCTGTGGGAGTTCAGCCCTTCCACATCAGTCAAAGCAATAGGTGTTATGAAAGCATGCTACATATATCGTATTGTAGGGATGCCATCATCAGCACTGAAATGTATTACTATGCTGCTTAGTCTGTCAGTCCTGTCAAATGTGGACCATTTATAAAATTTGGAGAGAATGGGCTTGCTCTGTTAGCTGTTTGTCTTTTCAAACAACTGTTTCATCATTTGGTGTCTTACCATGTGACAGGAGCAGTGACCATTAAAACTAAGTGGCTTTAGTCTGTGGCAAAATGGGTATATTACAGTGAAGTCACAGAATGTTGAGGGTTTGAAATCCTAAATGTAAATATTACTAGTTTTAGATTTGTGATCAAATGTTTTTCTTTGGGAAAAAATAAAATTGTGAATAAACGTTGACAAAATTAAACTGTTTCCCTTACAAAAGCTGGTTCTTGCTTTGCCAGCTTGTGAAAAGTTTGCTGTTACATCACTTTGAAGCAAAAACTTTAATAAGAGAGTTACCTTCAGATAATTCGAATGTTTGCAGGATGTTTTGTTCAAAATGTAGTATTATATAACTGCAATCAAGGCATTTTTCTTCCTGCTTATAAATATAAGGGATTTAAAGAATTGAATATATTTATTCAGGTCTTCCTAATACCTTTGGTGGCTATGATGAAACACCTGAAGTGACTGCCAAGCACCTTAAGGTAAGGGAATTTTCTTGTGAAAATTTCCTGTTACAGAAAGAAATATGATTTGTATGTAAGTAAGGTTTCTTTTTTAAAACAGCTTAGTGTAAGATGTGGGCTTACATAGATCAAGAGTATAATAGATTAATGGTGTAAGCTTTCATGGCCAGTATCTGTTGAGCAGTGTTGGGCTTCAGGATTTAGTGACCGGTCTAGGCAGCAGATTTCCTGTCGTTTCACTGGCAACTGTGGCTGCCATTTTCAGATGCAAGGTGGTCCGCGTAGGAGATCACAGGCAACTAAGCAGGAACTGACTTGATTGGTCTTTAGCTGAGCTGGTTTCCAGTTGATGCAGGTTGGTGAGGGCTGGTCTCTGATTGGTCCTTTGTGCCTGATTCTGATTGGTCATTTTTGTGGTGTTGGTTCCTGATTGGTCCTTCATTCATGCCAGCTTCTGATTGGTCATTTTTGGAGTGCTGATTCCTGATTGGTTCTTTGTTCATGCTGGGTTCTGGTTGGTTACTCTGGGACCAGGCAACTTTCTGATTTGCCCGTTTTTGGGAACTGATTCTTAGTTGGTTCTGCTTTTGGGCAGGCTTGTGGTGGTCATTTCTTCAATTGAAGCCATGGCAGAGTCTCTCTGTTGTTTACTGGCTGTGGACCTTGTGATCTTGGTGTGGCCCAGGGCAGGTAACCAAGCTTTACAAAAGAGAGTCTCCCATGGCTTCAGTCAAGGAAGGAACAACCTAACTATAAAGACAGGAGCAGTCAGTTAGTCCCTGCCTCTGAATACGCCAGTCACAGTTGCCAGCAAAACATCAGGAAATCTGTCTAGACCACGGTCATTAAACCTTGAAGCTCAACACTGCCCAACAATATAATAGTTACTTATGAGCTGGTAGACATGCCTAGGATTACTGGGTGAGAGCTTTAACAAGTAATCTTACAAATAATAAATATGTCTACAGGGATGGGTATCAGAAAATCAAGATGGTGGCTGCAAATCATGTGATTGGAGCCCTGCCCCTTTTATATACACTGCATAGGCAAAGCATGTAGAAAAGGAGCAAGGCTTCAACTGTGCAGTTACAGCCACCATCTTGACTTTTTGACATTCCCCCTCCTCCCACCCAACAGATGTCCCTGACTATAGTGGGGGTTATTTTCAAGTAAGTAAGTAAGTATACTTCTGCAGTCTTGCTTTCCTGTTTTTGAATGATTTGCAATTCCAAGACACTTTGGTGTTGAGCACAAAGAAATTGTGAAAGTTGCCTCATTAGATGACATGCAATTCACAAGGTGATCAGCTATCCTAGGAGACTTTCATGTGACCCAGTCAATTGACTTTCAATCAGCGAATTAAAATGGATGGGAATGGGTGAATTTAATTCAGGTGACCATTATATCTACTACTGTTGGGCAAGAAACCCTTCAAAGAAATGGAGTAGCCCTCATAGTCAATAAGAGAGTGGGAAAGGCAGTAATGGGCACAGCCTCAAAAACGACAGAATGAATTAAAATGGATGGGAATGGGTGAATTTAATTCAGGTGACCATTATATCTACTACTGTTGGGCAAGAAACCCTTCAAAGAAATGGAGTAGCCCTCATAGTCAATAAGAGAGTGGGAAAGGCAGTAATGGGCACAGCCTCAAAAACGACAGAATGATCTCAGTGTGTATCCAAGGTAAACCATTCAACATCACAGTCATCCAAGTCTATGCCCCAACCACTGATAGTGAAGAAGCTGAAATTGACCGGTTCTGTGAAGACCTACAACACCTTCTAGAACTAGCACTAAAAAATTATGTTCTTTTCATTATAGGGAATTGGAATGCTAAAGTAGGAAGTCAAGGAGTAATCGGAATAACAGGCAAGTTTGGCCTCGGGTACAAAATGAAGCAGGGCAAAGGCTAATAGAGATTTGTCAAGAGAACAAGTTGGTCATAGCAAACACTCTTTTCCAACAACACAAGAGACGACTCTACACATGGACATCACCAGATGGTCAATACCGAAACCAGATTGATTATGTACTTTGCAGCCAAAGATGGAGAAGCACTATACAGTTAGTAAAACTGTGGCTCAGATCATGAGCTGCTTGTTGCAAAATTTAGGCTTAAATTGAAGAACATAGGGAAAACTGCTAGACCACTCAGGTATGACTTAGATCATATTCCTTGTGAGCACACAGTGAAGGT